TCCCGACATGTGTGGCTGCGCATATAAGCGTGGTGCCATAGTGAACTGCAACGCAAACAGGAGTTTTAAAACATGTAAATTCGAATATTACTCTAGGATTAAAAAGAATTCGTCTGTCATCTGTCACTGTTGAGGCAACTGGTGTTAATTACATGGGGAGGAGAGCGAAGGACCCGGATCCGACGCCCATATTCCTTTGGAACTCGAAAGGTGATATAAGGATGTAAAATAGCTCTGTTTTATGAGTCTTGAGAAGAATAATCGGACAAGAATTATGAACAGCAGAACCTTTTAGGGGGCTCTGGAGGCTCCAGCTGCCCTATTCTGCACCTTGGACTGTGCTTCGAGTTCTAAACAAACCAAACAATCGGTATTTTGCATCACTTAGTAATGGGCAAACAGTGAAATATCACTGTTTTTGAATGCAAAGTATCGATATATGTACTACGAGGTGAAGTGGTGGTGAGGTGAATAAGTAACATTGAACGCTGACATTCGTAACTGCATTAAGTCCGGCTGTGACGATACCAGTGTAGAGGAAATGCACGCAAGCGATGTTATAACATGGAGACTTCTGGCAGCTTGCTCCCGTCGTAACCGCTGCGACTGATTACTCGTTTTGCCTTCGGTCCGCCTAACACCCCTTACCAATCGAATACTTACGCCGCACATTTTGGCCGGGACGTGGTGCTAGTCTGACCCTAGTCGACCTGACTCTCTTTGCTGATTGGTGGAAAATGCCCAGGTACACGCACGCACTTCGCGCCGGGGCTGACAGCTTGAACGGCAGGCTGCGGTAGAGGTTGTACGACTAACACTACCTCTCTGAGTTTTGAGTTGGGAAAGCTTGTTGTCATCAATCGTAAACTGATGGAGTCTTCGTCGATAGAGGATTAGAATCTACGCGCTAGAAATTATTAAACCAGTTGATGACTAGCCAACACTACGTTGGAGCCTAGGGCAATTTACCGAATAAGAACTGAGAAATTATGAAAAAGATACAATATTTGTTTGGCTAGTACTACCGTTTGGGGTAAACAAACGGAAATCCATGACGTATATACTGTGTGAGCAAGCACCTCTAAGTAAATCCAATACGAACGTAAGGTATGGAAATTATCCCATGATACTAATTGTGGAGGATGTCAAGAGAACTTTCCAGAGGCAGCCTAAAAGATAGAGAGCGCTGCCTAATTTACACTCAATTCAGAAAGGTCTTGTCTAGCTAACGAAAATGAGTGATTTATCAAGGGTGTCCGGTTGCTGAGGTGTGCCAGAGTGCTCGACATTGGTCGTGTGAGAAATATATTGAAAGTGGCTATATTAAATAACTATATGTCCTGCATAGCGGGCAAAAGGGAACCAAAAGTCGCAAGCGTTTTTGAAATAACGTGAGTACACAACTCCTTAATGGATACGTAACAGGGGCGCGTTTATTGTAAGTGGCCTTTGTCTAATTCAACCGTTAGGTCAAAAAGACGGGGGACATCAAATCATGTTTTTATAAGAAAACCGACGACGTATGGAAACTAGTGGTATTGCCGAGAAGCAAATGGCGCCTCTGGTAAAAAATCGTTCTCAGCAAATGCAAAGAGAGCAAGCGTAACACAGACTCCAGGACGGCAAAACGCATTTCAATATGGCTTTCTGGCAGTAGCTGTCCACATAGCAGACAGACCGATCGGCGGTTTCGTGTAGTTCTTGGTTTCGAAGGCGGAATTCTCTATTTAACTCTGTGACACACAAATTTAGGGGTTCGATATCCTGACGATTGGTGGGCAACAGTTGCCATCTAATACCTCAATGGCTAATGACCACGTGTTGACAACCGATCCGCCAGTGCGGCGCCAGCCATTACCTGCAGTACGAGTGGTTATTCGTCAGAGCAGTACGTGCATATTATTCAGATAGTTTATTTGGAGACTGGGCGACTGTGTACAACCCGCGAACGTGTCGGTTAGTCAGTAACTAGAACAAGCAAGCTCCGTGTTGCCGAGGTTACCCGCATTCCTGGTCACAAATGTGCAAGGCAATGTGCTAAAAGAACAGTTTTAGTTAGTTTAAGAAGAAGAAGATGTGTGACTGGATTACGCTTATGTTAAAAAAGAAAAGTACCGGGTTGTTCAGTATGAAATTTGCAGTGAATATATGATTAATTTTGAAAATTTATTTCACGCTGATAGTATTCTAAATCATTTTGCATTTCGAAAATATTAAAACTCTTGTATGTTTAAAAATGAGCAATTCGGAAATTCGTACAGGTATGAAATAAGGTTTCTTATGTAAGAATAAAGCATCAGAGATAGCTCGGCATATTAATAGTGTATCTTGCTTTACCACACAACAGAAAGCTGTATTTCTGCGGTATTCCGTTCTACTACCTTTAACCTCACGGATGAATCGTGCGATCGGCTGCAAGTGTGACCCATTCATGATGCCCGGCTCCTCCATCGCGGCAGATGTATACTGCAGCCAGCCGGACAAATGAT